TATACAAACACACGCACAAACAAACGCATACATATGGTGGCAGTCCGTTAAGTATAAATAAGAATGACTGACAGACAGACCAGGAGACTTACCGGCCATACTCCGAGACCAGAGACTTTTTAAGATTGTATTTAAAAGAGTTGAGATTAGGTAACGATTTAAAGGAAGTTTTTAAGGAATTCCATAATTTTGGACTAGTGTAAAATATGGATTTTTTTTTTCCAGAAGAGTATGTATATTTTTCAAATAAAATGTTACTTTTAGCAAATCTAATATTATGATCATGTATGTCAGACTGTTGTTTTGGAAATAGTTTATAAATATGTGGGGGTAACGTTTCATTTCTAAAGTGATACATAAAAACATAGTTTTGTAATTTATGCAAATCAAATACATTTAGAACACTAAATTTGTAAAATAAAGGTTTGATATGAGAAATACGTGTTGTTCCTGCACAAATCCAGAGAGCTCGCTTTTGTAATTTAAAAATATTGTCAATAGAGTTTGTTTCATAGGTTTTATAAGTTGGCCATACATAGGTTTTTATAAGGTGGCCATTTTAAAATCTAATATGGCTGCCATAATGACCTCCGATATTTTTTTCTATCAACAATTGCATGCTATGACCATAAGGAGCATGTAATAAGTTAGTGCTTTTGTCCAAAACGTCCATATGGCACTATAGCTGCCTGGCGTATTATGAATACACCACTAAATATGTCGTCGTATTTGTGGCAGCCATCTTGAAATTAATGATACCCACATCAAATAAGTGTACCTGTATGCATCGGAACGATTTTAGGATTTGTAAATATATTTTAGGAAAAAAAATATGCTGAAATATGTTGAAAAGATCAGGGTTTTTTTCAATTTTTTGTTAAAACTAGCCATTTTGGCGGCCGTTTTGAAAAAAACACACTTCCCCTATGTGGATTTTTTTAGACTTTTAGTATGTTCATACAGAGACCTTAAAAAATGCACTGTGCAAACAGAAATTCTGTTGCAATTTTTTCAACCATAAGATGTATTTTTCTTGTACTAACTCACTTCTGTCTGCATTAGTGTCTCTAACCACCATAATTGCTATTATCATCATCATAATCGTGACCGTTATCGTCCTCTATATCATTATAATCATCGTCGTCAACATCACACCACCATTACCACCGACATCGCCATCATCACCGTCACAGTTTTTATCCCCTCATCATAATCATCCTCTCATCGTCATCATCGTCGTCATCATCATCATCATCATCATCGCCACCATCATCATCATCATCATCATCATCATCATCTTCATCATCATCATCATCATCATCATCATCATCATCATTATATATTTTTTCTTGACACCCAGGTAAACAAAGTTTCCACAGTATGGCTTCTAAATCCCTGTAAAACTAGCCACATTCTAACATTCCGCCCCTCCACCCTTTCACATAAAAACCTGGATCCCCCTTGAATCTTCTCTATTGGGTAGGCCTAAGCCGTTATCACCTGGTAGATTTGTTTATGGAGGTTAACCTACAGTACATGGGCTGTCTGCCATAATTGACTAAAATTAAAGTGTAATCTGTATAAAGAGCAGAAGCACACGCAGCATTTAATTTTAAAAATTAATAATTCAAGTAAATATACAAATAAACAACTCATCTAGAGTGTGACAAGTAATTCATTATTGCTTCAAGCTGAATTTGGCAAATAAGTGAAATTAAAATTGTACTTTAACTATGCTATTCGAAACTCTACGGTATTCATTAATTTGTAGGCCTAGGCCTATTTCCAAATGTGCCCCTAAATAAGATGTTTTTATTGTTATTGTTATTGTTATTAATGTTGTTGTTGTTATTATTATTATAATTATTATTATTAGGCCTATTATTATTATTATTATTATTATTATTATTATTATTATTATTTGTATTATCATTATTATTTGTATTATGTATTACGGTGTTCCTTGTACTTTTTTTTCATGGCGAAATAGGAAACTTGATTCATCTATTTTTGGTACTGATTAGAAATTAAATTTTTATGAATTTATCATTTTTGCAATAGACACATACATTTGTCTTAATCACATGAATTAAAATAGGCCTAAACTAGATATACTTTCCGGCGTTGTATAATGTTATAAAGGCTGAGTGTGTGAAGTCGAACCCCTATTATTAGAAGCTGTTGAATTAAGACAAAAAGGCCTCCAACAATCACCGAGTTAAACTTCGAAGTTGAGATCAATGGACAAGCAGAATCCTTTATCCACGTACATTTGTTATGAAGCTGTTTGTTTGTAAGTACCGTATATTATAGCTGCTATATTACAATGCAGCAGGTTTATCATTTTTTTCCTATACCTATTTAGATGTGGCATGGATCGTCACTCCATCGTTTGTGGTAACTTTTAAGCAAATGAAAATGTTTGTGTGTGTAAAGATTCTTGAGTGTACATAAATGAATAAGAATTGTACATAAATTACTTTTAGAGACCAATCAATTTTTATTTTCTGCAAATGTAAACACTACAGTAAGCTTATACCACAATATTCAATTATTATCGTCATCGCTGATTGGCTGTGTTAATGTTCAGAGTGACTGCGCAATCCATTAAAATTTAAATGCTGTAACGAACCATCACTTTTACCAACATGCGTTAGCCACAACAAGGTGCCTGTAATGAAAATGTGGATATTAGCGGTAAATTATCTTTTCTTACCATTTACTGCTGTCTACAGCCAAGGTGATAATGGTACAGGTAAGTGTGTAGTTAGTTTATTTCAATTGTATGGAAAAAAGTGTTTCTGACGTGATTCGAACCCGCAACCACTCGCTGTTAAGGCGAGTATCATACTACTAGACCACGAAGACTTTCCCCGTTATGCGCGCAGATCTAACCCCAGGTACTTTTAAACAACTGACTGAAACGCTCATACAGTGTAGCTGTGGTTAAGCTAGACAAGCTTGTAGGTGTCAGCTTGTAAAATCGTATTAGATAATATTCAAATCAAGTTTGCTGCTATATGTACAGTATATAAAATACTGTTAATGAATACATACGTAAAACTTTGGAAACATAAACGTTTACTGTTGCAACCTGTGATGCTGAATGTAGTTCAAGTCAAGCGTTGACAAGGAATATAGCAAACTTGATTCGAATATATATATATATATATATATATATATGTATATGAAAATATATATATATATATATAATCAAGGTGATCTTTGTGTAAGTCATCAAGCGTGAGAGGGCTCAACCGGTTGGGAGCAAAATTAAACGAACAAAGTAGACAAACTTAGAAAAATTCCATATGCATTTATTACTACAAACTTGTTTCGTATGGACAGCTGTCAAAAGCTGCCCGCACTCATCAGGTACAAATACATAGTGAGTAGACAGTACAAGAATTACATTTATGCTAAGAGAGAGGCGAATATACGTTGCTATGGTTCCTACCATTGTTTAGTTGAGGTGGTAATAATGCTTTTTTTTTGTTACACAATAGATGTTTTTTCTGTGTCTACATGACACCTACAAGTTACCAATTCATTTCTGTTATTTAATGTGCCTAATTTTGTTTTACAAATAATGAAATACTTTCCATCAGGCATAGATTACACTTTTTTGGGCCGGAGAGTATGGCTTGCATTTGGCTAGAATTTTCCATTTAAATGAGTACAGGATAGAGTTATCTTTAAGGGTCCATATATATTGGCTACGAGTTGTAGCATTTTTGGGGATATTGTTCCTGGTTTTGAATGTGTGCTCTGTTAGTCCCATGTACGTTTCTTGGGTTTGGTCGTCATTTATGGTAACTGTCGCCCGGTATATAACTCCTTGGTTAAGCAGTTTCTTTCTAATGGGCACGTTACGATACATTTCTCTTGATTACAATTAGTTTGTGCGGTCGAATTTGTTGTTTCTTTTTTGAGCAGCGTCTTGTTGTGGCTAGAAATTATCTGTTTCATATTGGGCATACAACTGTAGCTTTATTTCAAAGTGTTCCGGTTAAATATTTTTTTGAATGGGTGGTTTGGAGGGAATGATGAATCAATGGTAGATAGGAATTTATGGCCTAATGTTGGTTGAAACCTTGTCGCTATACGGTGGGTTGAACATGGTTGAACCAGATGATTTTAAGTTGTCTATAC